GTATTACAATAAATATTTTTTTTAAAAATCAACATTATTTATTGCTGACTTTTTAGAGAATAAACTATCATCACAGGCCTCATTAGGCTCCTTTTATAATAATGAAGCTGATATGGACCAGTAAATCTTTTGCAGAAAATTTTCTTTGCTGTTATTAAACCTACATATTTTTATTGATACCCTAATTTACTGGCACAAATACAATTAGGTGATAGTTTGACATGAAATCCCATACTAAAATTAACTGTTAGTATTATACAAAGTAAAAGATAAAATAAATTAAAACAAGACAAAGCCGAATTGTTATAAACCAGAAAAACTATTCTGCTTTAAACAAAAGAAAAAACTTGTCTTTTCAGCTCCGATTTGATCGAACTCAGCAGGCATTTCAGCTCCCCTTTGCAGCGTCAGTGAGGAGCGCCGGTGCATATGTGAGCTTGCACACGTGCAGGGGTGTGTTGTTGTAGCGTGTCCCTGTGTGTGTGGAGCTCTGATGTCACAGTGTTTGTTTGACGGGAAACGACAGCGAGTCTTCGGTGAAGGACAGCCAGAGCTGCCCGTTCTTCTGCTGTTTACTCTTTCCCCCTGTATTCTCAGGAGCCTCTACCCCTTTTTTCCCTTCTGTCTGTCTGTCTCTGTGAGTTTTTTTTTTTTATTCATCTTCCCATCTTTCATGTCCCCCACCCCTCCATGTCTTCAGAATGATAATGCAGACTGAAGGTGCTCCTGGGACTTGGTTTGGTGCAGGGAGTTCAGCCGGGATCTGAAACGCTGAATTTAACAGGAAGAGCAAAGCCCTCCACTGCTGCTGCTGCTGCTACGCCGATCGATCGGTAGCTGTGTATTTGGTGGCATTTTGCCAAAGAACAGACTTTTCAATCAATGATTTTAATTTATTTTTACATCTGGGAATCACGAGGACAAGCAAACTGTTTACAGAGTGGACAAAAAAAGGGGGGAAAAAAGCAAAGTGAAAAGATCAATGTCCGTCTGGCCTCACGTGCTACAAAGCTGTTATTCAGAGGTTTAATACGTTTTAACCAAACACAAACTCTTTCTGTCACTATCAGGAACTCGTGCGTGCGGAACAGTAAACTTTGCATCTGTCCTGACTTTTTTTCAGCAGTGTCAGTCCCAGCTCTAGATTGTTCCAATCAGCTGCTGAAACTTTTGATCAAATGTGCTGCTTTTGCACGCCATGTTCAAGAGGTCTGCAGAGAAGACGCTGCCGTCTATAATAGATCTAAGCATTCCTATCCTTAAGTTCAGATAATAGACAACTGCTGTTGGCTTTTATTGGTATTCTGCCCAGGGCTTGTGTTAAGACTCTGTAATTACTGAACCAGCATGTTATTTTGCTGGCAAGGGATGCTAAAAACTGCTATCCACCCAGGGAGAAAGCAAAAAAAAGGAGAAATTTTGAGGGAAAATTAGACAGCATCTTGGCTAGATAACATGAAAATAAAGAAACGTAATCTACTAAGTAACGGAGCATGGATGGGAGTTTTATAAACAGTTAATCCCAGTCCTAGATAAGCATTTAATCTCTGCTATGGGCCAGTTGCATTTTTTTGTCGTTGGCAGATAAACCTGGAATCAAAAATCCTTTTTTTTATTTGTGTTTTTTTATAGCGAGATTGAGATGACCTTGAGTCGACAAGCTCTTTTGGAATGTGTGAACGGTGCACGGCCAAAAGGGAAGACAATCCCCTCCAGGAAAGAAAGAAAGAGGAAAAAAAGAGCTCAAATAGATTCCATACAACTTCCCTTAAGTGTGCATGGATTATCACCTCTGCTCGATACGTCCTCAGCAAGGTCTTTTACGGTTCTCTGGGAAAAGGGGCCAGATTTACAGTGCTGACCAATCAAATAAAAAGCCACAGGTTTGATATGATTCAAACTGTAATGTGGTTGCGTGATTTGCATTAAGCCCGTGTGTCCTCCTGGGCTCTGTGGATTGTGGTGTTTTATTATTATAATTCGTCCCGGCCTTGTAAGGCAGGGGTGTGCAGGCTGAAGAGATTGAGCTGTGTGATAGCCTGCAGCCTGCTTCTATCTTCCTGCATACTGAAATGCTTGTGCATGGGGGTGTGTTCACTTGTCAGCAGGTTATCAGCCCCTCCTTAGTGTGCTTCACAAAACAGTTCCCACCAAAGAACATTCAAGGACACGTACTCAGTGTTGAAAGGGTCAGCGTTTGCGCGTTTGGGTATAAATATACACGTTTTTTTCAACTTTACACTACAACCCCAACTTTGAAAATGTTGTGAAAAATGAAAATAAAATCAGAACGCAATGACTTACAAATCTCATGAACCCATAAAGAAAAAAATTGTATAGGTCCTCTGGACRGGTTCTTCTCTAATGAAACGTTTCSTCTCTCTTCCAAGAGACTTCTTCAGTCTGAGAGTTTCAGGCAAAATTCAGGCTTTTAAGCCCTGCCTCCACGTGACTGATACTCACATCACATGGCTATCGTTGACACCTAATTAACACTTATTGTTAACAGGGGGTGGAGTGATACYGCCAATGGCAGCACTGTAGGAGGGGGACAACTGAAAACGGAGGCCTCCACCTCTGTTTAATGATGGACGGTCTTTCTTTACAAAAATGGCTTCTTTTACTCCTCTCTCAAACCAACGTTCCTCTCTATCAAGAATGAGAACATCCTCATGTCTGAAAGAGTGACCCTGGCCTGTAAATGAGTGAACACTGCAGAGTTCTGACCATTAGATGTAGCTCGTCTGTGTTGGGACATTCTTTTGAACAGTGGTTGCTTTGTTTCCCCGATGTATAACTGGTCGCAGTCCTCCTGGCACTTAACAGCATATACAAYATTGCTCTGTTTGTGCCGGGGCACCGGATCTTTGGGGTGAACCAGCCTTTGCCGTAATGTGTTTTGGGGTTTGAAAGCTACTGGGACATCATGTTTAGAAAATAAACGTCTCAGTTTCTCCGAAACACCCGCAACATACGGAATAACCACTGGTTTGGGTCTGGGTTTGGGGTCTTCATTTTCACCTGAAGGTTGCATGGAATCCTGTCTGTGTTTCCTGTCTGCTTTCAGGAAAGGCCAGCCAGGATAACCACACTGCTCCAGGGCCTAGGAGTAAAAGAAGCCATTTTTGTGAAGAAAGACCGTCCATCATTAAACAGAGGTGGAGGCCTCCGTTTTCATGGKGGTGCATGAGTGCCTATACGATGGGCAGCTTACACATCGGGAATGCAGGGTTTAGAACATTTGCTCCCATCCAGATGATTTTTTTTCATGAAGGCCTTCCATATTTCAGCTAGATGATAAAAAAAAAACCTCCATTCTTTACAACAACATGACTTGATAGAAGTGTCCAGCTGCTGAACTGACCTGCCYGCAGTCTGGACCTTTTGCTAATTGGAAGCATTTGACACATGAAAAATAGAGATGTTAATGTGCTCAAAATTCTTTGATCAGATTGACCAGATTTTCTCCTTTCTGCTGCCTTTCATTTTATTTGTGATTTGTATTTTTTATTGTATGTAGAATTTAAGTTTTTTTAAAGAAATAAATAAACTTTATAAATGTAAAGAAAAGTATTCAGATTAGATAAACTGTAAGTATCATTTATACAGGCACAAACTTAATTAATCCCATCATGACGACCGTTTATATGCACCAAGTATTGACATGTGCAGATTTGTAAAAAATTTCCTAAAAAAAAAAAACCCACAGAAGTTCTACTTCCGCGATGAACACAAACAAAGGTTCTGTATCTTCTGAGCGCCCATGAACCTGCAGGTTTTAATAACAGTGAGGCTTTGCTGCACTCTGTGTTCCGACATTTTTCACCTTTAAGGCGTTCAATAACTTTGAGCTCTTTTAAAGTTTTTAATAGAAATGTTGTTTCGCTAATCGACAAATTTTGTTTACCCATTTAGCCGGGAGGAAATACATCRGGTTGACATCGGGCACTCATGCACAGTCAGGTCAGTTTTCCACAACCAGAATAAGTGTTCACGTGCACGCMGTTAGGATTATCTATCAGCAAACACCACCCCACTCRTTTGGATTATAAATTCATTCTGATTGAGCTGCAGCAGATCAGAATATTACAATTGGGCCGTTTAAAATATTGCATTTTTATTCCTATTGGCCTTTTATTCCAGTTACTTATGTCAATAAAACCATAGTTAAAGTGGCAAAGAATACCCAGGACTGCTGAACAAAACATTCCTTCCAAAAACCTTTAGCAGCCGGTCTCTTCATCTCCTCAGATGTTTATGAATTGATGTTAAAAAAAGATGGTATGCTTCAGAGTGGAAAACATGGACCTGTCAKTACTTTAGGATGTGTTGYTGCCATAAAATTAACAATCACCTTWGTAAAAAAATTACAGCGTTCTTGTATTATGTTTAATTGTTAATAAAGTCCGGGTTCATTAGATTGGCAAATGATTACATCCTGATTTTGTTTACGTTTTACACAACAYCCCAACATTTTTGGATTTGAGAACATAATATGACTGATTTGARTCACAAATTAGTAATAAAATGTCTTGTGAAAGTTTGTTTCTTATTCTACTTATCGATAAAATACTAATTTAACTACAAGTCCGTGTATAAGGTTATTGTATTCTACAACCAATCTTTACAAATCAGAGCAAATTGCCAATATACACCMCTAACTTATTTTAATTTTTAGCCAAAATGTAATCATCTATATGAAATAATTTCTTTACTTAATTAAAAACAAAACAGGGCTTAATTAATTAATATAATGTGCAATCTTGCTTTAAAAACTAAACTATGGGCTGCCACAGAGGCAGTTGTTTCTTCATTTTTTCTATGCACAGACAAACTTCAGAATCAATAAAAACATCCTTCAACTGTCAATAAACTATTTTGGAAAAAGTTGCAATCAGCCAAATAAAACAATCGGATGATTAACCAATCTACCTCAAGTCATGTCTAAATCAATACTGCAAAAAAAATGCATGAACGGCAATCCATATATGTAAAATGTGGTGCATTTATCATCTGCTCACTAATAATATATCTGATGAGTTCTTGCAGTTCGAACAAAATGATGAAAGGAAGTTTGAGTTTTTTCCAATTCCACCAATAGAAACTGTGTGTTACTTTGATTCTTCCAAACCACTTCGATTGTAACATCATTAAATTTAAAATAAAAAGTAAAAGTTGATTATTTTTATTCCACTATCCGTGCATTAAAGCCCTCTCACTGGTTGTGTTAAATGTTTTAGTGTTGATTGTGTTTAGGTGTTTAGAGGCTCACCGACGCTGGTGATCTTCTGCGTCACCAGGTCCTTCAGGAGGGCATCGATGACCGGATTGTGTCTGGAGTACAGCTCGTATCGATTAATCCCAATGTGGAAGCGGAGCCAGTTGGGGTAGGACTCGGCCATCAGCTCTCCTGTCGGGCTGAACTCGTCCAYGGTGCCCTCCCCAGTCCTGCAGGAGAGGGGATGTCATCAACAATCTGTACATGAACTGTCACAGAACACACAATGTTTGGGACAAATTAAAAAGCTTTGGGGTTGTCTTTAGCTCGGTTATAACTCAGTTTGATACCAGAAAATGAAAAAAAAAAAAAAAGGAGTGGTTTCAACTTCTAATCTCTCGTGTGGGAAAGTGTGGGAAACAAGATGTGGGATGGTTGTAGAGCAGACTGTGACTGACGGTGAAACGCTTGTCAAAACCTTCCGACTGAGCTCTGCAGGGAAAAAAATCTTTAAAACAGAAACTGGCACCTTTTCTGGACCACTTAAAACACCTGAAGGAGATCCACTATAGCTGCTAACTGTTACTTTTTTTCTCTTTGTTCTTACGCTCTGTAACAATCTGTTCCCAACATTTGTCCAGTTTTTCACCCTGCAGCTTTCAAAACCCCAAAGCCCCATGCAAAAGTGTAATTTTAGGTAGAGGAACGCTGTATGATGTGAACGAAATTTGTTTAAAACTGACATTTATAACAGCAGAATTTGAATAAAAGTAGTGACAAAAGCATATTTAGCGCTCTACAGCTTGAGCTTTCTTCACCGTAGAACCAAAGTTTAAGAAAGCTGGACTTTACAGGTCTGAGCTGACATTTTAAGATCTTGGTTTTACGCAATTGTTGTTTAGATTTTATGRCATTTGGAGATTTTACTGGAAAACRTTTAACTTACAGCACAGATGGCAGGAGCTTTTGAACTGTCTACACTTTCTAAGCAACCATTTACTAAAATGGTTGCTTAGAAAGTTTAGATAACTCAAAGATAGCTTTTCTATTGAGCAGGTGGCACGGTGGCTCAGTTGGTAGAGCTGCTGCCTCTCAGCAAGAAGGCCGCCAGATCAAATCCCGGCCCGGGGACCTAGAGTTTGCATGTTCTCTCCGTGCATGTGTGGGTTCTCTCCGGGTACTCCGGCTTCACACAAAAAACATGACTGTTAGGTTAATTGATAACTCTAAATTGTCCCTAGTTGTGAGAGTGTCAATGGTTGTTTGTCTCTATGTGTGGCCCTGTGATGGACTTGTGACCTGTCCAGGGTGTACCCCGCCCCTCACACTGTGACTGCTGCATATAAGCACCAGAGATCCCTGAAAATAAGTGGGTTTAGATAATGGATGGATGGATGAAATTTAAGTGTCTTTGACTCATCATCCATCATCTTTACCTACTTCTTCCTTTCAGGGTCACCGGTGCCCATATCCAGTCACTGCGAGGGGCAGGGTACACCCCGGACAGGTCGCAAGTCCATCACAGGGACACTCACATTAGGGATTAGCCTAACACTTGTGTTTTTCAGTCTATGAGGGGAAACCAGAGTGCCCCGATGCACGGAGAGAACAAGGAAACTCTACCCAGAAAAGTCCCCGGCTGGGACTTGATTCATCAAGCTTCTTGCTGAAAGGCAACAGTTCTACCAGCTGAGCCACGGTCTTGAGACAAAACATTGCGGACTCACAAAAACTCATCCGTGACCATCAAAGTCTTCTGCTGCATGWCTCTAAATGTTTTAAGACTTTTACTTATTGAACAGCAGGCTTAGTTTTCAGTTTTTGTTTTTTTTTTTTTTTTGAGAGTGGCTGCGAGAGAGTGAAGGACAGGTGTATTGTTCCCATAAAGAGCCACTGGCAGCAGATTGGTTCTTTTTTATCAGCTCAGTGTATATTTGATTATTGCAAAGCTGATGTTTACCCTTCAAACTCTCTTTAGGGAATTATTTTTCTTTCTTAAAAAAATTGGAACTATTTGTTGCCTTTTCTTATGTTTGAGTTCTAATGTTTGACATGTTTTGTTTTATTGGATAACTTCATTTCTAAAAGGGTAAAAATAGAAACTAAAACACGCAGAAAGAGGATTTTCATGTTTTGGTCAGGACATAACAAATAAGATGAGAGTGAATCTTCAAGTTTTTATGCTTCTCCACCTGCATCACCTTGACTGAGAGCCTGTTTCTGTGTTGAACTGTCTTCCTGTTTTTGAATTAACATGTCAGAAGATCATCTGTGAACTTTATTCTGTAAATCACACATTTCTGTTTCCAACCTGACCCTGACCCTGATAGTTTTTAAAGAAAAAAATACTTTTTTTATTTTTTATTTTTACCATGCCTCCTCCTCTGCTGCTTTGGGGTCAAATCTGATGTCGGTGTTGACGTTGAACAGCGTGTCCTCCTCCGTTAGAGGCGGCGGGGACTTTTTATATAAAGGATGCTCAAACAGAGCCGACAGCTTGGACCCCCTGTCCGGCGCGTGCCTGCTCTGCGCGCCGTCCTGGACGAACTGTCTCTGCCGCTGCCCACTGGGACCCTCCGCCGCGCCGCGCGCTCCGGCCCCTGCAGCCGGGCTCCTCTCCGGGGAGTGGGAGGACAGGTTGGAGCTGGGCTCGTTGCTGAAGTCCTGGAGGATCCGGAGGGTGTGCTTGTTGTTGTTGTTGTTGTTRCTGGGCCAGCCCTGCTGCTGGGGCTTCCCTCCCCAGCTCTGGGGCTGCTCGCTGGGCGCGTTGGAGCAGGAGCAGCCGCCGCCGCCGCCGCCTCCGTGCCTCTCCAGCTTGGGTAACAAGTCGATCATGATGTGCATGGAGCAGGCGATGAGGAACACCATGAGGATCAGGACCCGGAATCGGCGCAGGAGGATCATCTTCATGGTCTCGCGCTTGAGCAGATGCGAGTATTTGCTGCAAATGATGAGCACGCAGATGACCAGGCTGACTACATCGCTGATGATGTTGATCAGACTGGACGCCAGTCGGATGAAATAGACGTTAAACACGTAGGAGCCATCTTCACTGGCCGTCTTGAGTGAAGGATTCAGCGTTCAGCGTTTCTTTTCTGGTTTTTCCCCCCACTTACAATCCGAGTCCTGCGCGATTGGCGACTATTTTTAGATCTCAGAGGCGCAAAGTTACCCGCAGGAGTCCAGGTAGAACAGGTCGAGTCGGTTCAGACCAGCGAGCTGTTTGCGCAAACCTCATCCTTTTCTCTCGGCAGCCGAATATTTCTGTGCTGGAGGAGGACGGCACTTATCCCGACCAGACTGCGCGCAGTGACCTCGATCCGAGTGGCTAGAAATAAAAAAAAAAAGAAAAGCAAAACAACCAAGAAGAAGAAGAAGGGGAAAAAAAGAAAGAAGTGCAGCTCGTCACATTTCAGTGTTGTGTAGTGGAAAGTCCCCGGAAATCGATCCAGCAATCCAGGGCGCGTTGAAAAAGAAAAGAAAAAAGAAAAATAAAGGCTAAGATTTGGTGCGTTTTGGCGCAGGTAGCGGGGGGTCCAAAGTCCCTCCAGGAGTATAGCTGGTGGGGGGAAGAGAAAGAACGAGCCCCTTGTAGCATGTGGGAATCTGGGTGGGTGTGTTAAATATGATGATGAAGCCAAGACTAGATCCTGCCTTTTGCGCAGCGTCACGGCGCGCAGATTGGCTGAAAAGCAGAGAGAGAGAGAGAGAGAGAGAGAGAGAGAGAGAGAGAGAGAGA